CTTTCCTTCATGACATCTCATGCATCGTGTAAACAGAGAAGCAGGAAATAATACAAAGCAAAAGAAAGATTTCCCCTCTTTTAAAACCTTGTCTGATTCACTACACACACCCCTTGTTGTCCTTTATGTGCAGCCGAAGTGCTTTGGCATTAAATCTTTTTTTTTTCCCTAAATAAACCAGTTTCTGGTTGGAATTACACACAACTTGGTGTGAGGTCTCTTTCAGGAAAAGAGGCCTGGATCCTTTTATCCAAAATGTTTTCTATTTCTGCTTTTGTAAGACACTTTTGACTGCTTTGAAAAGAGGGAAACCAGGTTTTTCTTGTGTTTCTGGGGGTGAGGTTGGGGATTTTTCTGGGCATTGTGGTGAGATTTATTCTAAGAGGCTGCATTTTTTCCTGATTTCTCCCTTTGTTCTCGGTAAGTAGTTCCAGCCCCCCCCACCACCATTTTTAACACACACACACACACACACACCCACATACACACACTCATTTTGCGTGAATCTTGGTGCTTTTCCACATGGGGGTATGTATATGTGCGTGTGTGCGAATGTGTGTGGCTGCAGCCGAGGCGGGGACTGGTGTGACACCTGCTGCTGGGATGAATGGGGTCAGTGGCGGGACCCTTCAGCAGGGAGCAGCTGCTAGTTCTCACTACAAACCGACTCCCTCAGCGCATCAAAGGACTACAACCGAAGCCCTGACACAACACATAGTGCCCTCTCTAGCATTATCTCCTATCATTGCAGTTATTATCCTGAAGTATTTCACCCCTCTATTTCTCCTGGGGTCATGGACATAATCGCCGGGAAGGAAACTTGAAAATGACCAAGGGGGAAACATCAAAAACAAACTTCAATTTCCCCTTCTGCACTCTCCCAATGCAGGAAGAGGTTAGCAGCCAGCTGCTGAAAGACAGGATTCCTGGTATTTGGTTGGTCTGACCTGTCTGTGCTCTCTTTCTGTGTGGTAGTCTGCCCTGCATGTGACTCAGTGGGTCTGAAAACATTCCCTCCAGGCATAAAATAAAGCAACAGCAATGGATAAACACTGAGATATGAAAACAACTGTCTGTTCTCCAGCGTTGTTTCAAGCGCCAACAAGTGCTTCGCATTGGTTCCAGCTGGTTTTCAAGATTAGTTTCTTTTTCTAAAAGACAAATTAAATGATTCTAACAAACATATCTTCCTTGATCTATCCAGCAGAGGTCAGCCTTTATTATCAAATTCTGAGGTTTAAAGTAACATGGAATGATGTAAATTATCAATGCATCCAACACAGCATTCCCATATTTTGTGGGACGAAGTTTTCCATATGACCGGTTATATGCACATTTATGAATTAAATGGGGAAAAAACCTGTAACCTCAACCCTGCAAAGCAATAAGTGTCTCAAGGTCTAATATTTTGCCAAACAGTCTTTTTGATCTTATTTTGAGATTGATACAAAGTCTGTTAGATTTATCTTCTTTTGAGAAGCTTCTACTCAGTTGAGGTGCAGAAAGACAAGTACACCTGGTAAGACTTCTTGTTTTGAGAATATATATCATGATTTTAAAAAGTCTATTTGAACTGGAAAAATTTTAAACTTATCAGACATTGTCTTTCACTTGAGGCAGCATGCCATAATTTTATCCTATATGTCATGCTGTGCTACTAGCTGGGGTTATGCTGGACTCTAAAAGCCTTGGATACAAAGGCAGAGAACTTCCACCACTGTAGGGTTCTAGAGTAATACAGATTTTAGAGTTTCTACTTATACTTCTCCAGGACTGGGTTTCAAGGGCAGCAGTCTCAGCAGAGACTCCAATACCTCCTCTCTGCAGACTACTCCTCCAGCTCTGCTTCGGAAAGCCCAAGGATCTCCTTGGCCAGCCCAGAGACATAGTCTTTGTGTCCTGGGTCTTCCCCTTGGCCTCCTCCTAGTGGGACATGCCTGTAACACCTCTCAAGTGACAAGATCAGGGGCCTGCTACCCTAGTCAACAGGACTCCTCCACTTGAGGAAGGAGCTCTACTCTGACCTGAAGGGGACACAGCACCTTTTTCCAGTCTAGAACCATGGCCTTGAACTTGAAGAAGCTTATTCTCATCCCGGATGCCTTGCATTCAGCTGTGAACCGCCCCAATGCATGCTGTAGGTCTTTGTAGGAGGGATCCAGCAGAATCACGTCATCTAGACAAACTCTGCTGTCCCCAAACCAAACCTCCGCTGGCCCTTATCTAGAAATCCTGTCCATAAAGGCTCTGAACAGGATCAGTGACCGAGGGCAGCCCTGCCAGAGCCCAACATGCACAGGGAACAGGTCCAACTTAATGCCAGCGATGCTGAACAAACTCCTGCTCCACATGTACAGAGAGCATCCCCCACATGGCACCATGAGGGAGATGGTTGAATGCCTTCTTGAGGTCCACAAAACACATGTGGACCAGTTGGGCAAACCCCAATGAACCTTGGAATACCCAGCAGAGGGTGTAGAGCTGGTTCACAGTTCCACGGTCAGGACCAAAGTCACACTGCCTTTTCTGCAGCCGAGGTTTGAAAATCAGCCATAATCGCCCTTTCCAGCACCCTGACAAAGGTCTTACTTAACAGGGGTAATGGTTTTATTGTGTTGACAGATTATTCTACTTGGTTTAAATAGAATCTTTTCAAAAGTATATTAATAATTGAACAAATACAAAAGCGGCAACAGAGATACAAAAGCCACAACACAAAAACGTGTACACCTGGAGGAAGAGTGAGCCGCCTGGTCTATGGTTTTGGTGGGGGCCAGTTGCGGAGCCAAGGTGGCCTACCGGTGGCAGGGCTGTCACATCTGCTCTCCCCAAAGAAGGTCGGAAGGAGGGGCGTGTAGTGGCTGGTTGAAGTAGTTTGGGGGGGGGGCGGCGGTTCTGGTTGGGTGGCCTGCGCGGAATGGGTGGGCCCGGGGGGGCTCTTGCTGGAGGTGGTCCGGTCCGTGTGCGGGGTGGGGGCCGGGCTCGAAGCAGGAAGGAGATGGGTCGGTGTGGCGGTGTCGCCGCACCCCTCCCCCCCATCCGGATTATAGGTTCACTTATTGGATCATCCGATAGTCCCGGGACCAACCACCGGTGCCACCGGGTCTTTGGTCCTGGTATTATTGGATGTGAGTGTTATGTGTGAATGTGTGTCTGCGTTTTTTTTTCTTTTTTCCCTTTTCTGTGGTGCGAGTGGGGGCACTAGGGAGGGAAGGCGTTATTGAGATTGTGAGTTTTTATTTTTAATTTTTATTTTTTTCTCCCAGCTGAACTGCCCCCTCTCCCAATGAGTCGATGCAATCAACTTTTTTTTAGATAGTAAACATTATAAACATATATCTCAAGTCTCCGCTAAGGGCGGAGCCCATTACCCCCGTCAGGGCTCGCCACTGCACTGGTGGAGCTCGGGTTTGGGGGTGGATGCCCGGGTGGCTACTGGCTCATTCCTGGCGGCCTCTTCGCAGGCCCCGGCCGGCCGGGGCCTTTCTGGGGCTCCTGTCTGGGGGTCGGGCGCCCCTGGGGCCTCGGATCCCTGGGGCCCAGGACTGGATTCACTTCAGCGTGGCCGTCCCCGCGGCTCCCCGGGGCGCAGGCATTGCGGTGGCTTGGGGGCTTCCTCTGGGCTGTCTCTCCTCTTCCCTTGGTGGGGGTCTGATTTCCGGGACTGGCCCCTCCTTGGTGTCTTCACTCTTGGGGTCCCTTTGGGCGTCTGGGGCTTTGGGTCTCCCGGCGCTGGACTCAGTGCTCTGGGGGATCCGCCTCTTCGGCTCTCCACAACCGCTATTGAGCATTTTCTCTATGGATAAACTTTACATGCACAAGTTCACCCTCACAAACAATTACAGGTGCTTGGCTTCAGGTACTTAGAGATTCACTTCCATACAGAAAGCCTTCATTCATATCTTCAGGTAACACAAGGTACATGTCAGACTTAATAATACTACTTCAGAGATAGTTTCAAGGTGTTGCTTTATTGTATATCTCGTACCATGTCTTTCAGTTGTGCTGTTCTTTTTACATCTCGTTACAGGTGATGAAGCAGACTGAAAATGTTTTGTCATTGTCTCCTTTCTATCTCCTCTTTCTTTCATCTTTTCTCTTTTTTCCCCTTTTTCTTCTGTTTTTCTGCTCTATTTACATTGCAGTGTCCATATAAACTGTAAAACTCCCTGCATAATAATAATTAAAAAAAAATACGTGTACACATGTCTATGGTCCCGACCATTGATACGGACATCTGAGCGGGACAGACCACTCATAATTTGGCAAGTAACGCAGCTAATAGGTATGATCTTTAGATCCTTAATTACAACATAAAGAGCAGCACTGCAACATCTGTTGCAGGTTGTGTGACTGCCTTTAAGGCTTTTGTGTCTCAGTTGTGACTGATGGAAACAAAGTTTCATTTGTTCTAACATCTTTAGGCATCAATTCAATTCAGTTTTTTATATAGTGCCAATTCACAACACGTGTCCTCTCAAGGCACTTTATGGAGACGATTCAACCAGAGCATACAATCAGATTATTTAAAAGTTTTCTATCTAAGCAAAACCAGCTGATTGCATCGACTTATTGACTAGAAAACAATCTCACACCAAGCATGCTTGAAATAGTATAGACAAAACAGGCTACCTTCTAAATGTCTAAAGCAACCTAAAGCTTAGACGTATTTCAATAATATGGGACCATAAAACTCTGAATGTGTAGGAGACCAGCAGATTTAGAGCAAATATTTATCTGGAACATTGCTAAAAGTTTGTTGATGGCTACCATTAGGAAACTTATTTCCAGACATATTTGATGTACTGGAGTCTATTGCAAGGAAACTAAAAAAAAATTCAGGAAGGTGTATGCTTATTTGGTTTCCCCTTAAAGAATCATCAATTTGTTTGAAATATCATTCCAAAAGGCATAGTTCAAAGATTCAAGCCAAATATTAAAAATGTAAAAGTTTCATGGTAAAGATGAGTGGATTTAACCTTTACAGCTCCACTTAAGGACTTTATCTTAAGTGGATTTATTTCATTTTTATTGGAGCCTTTTGGATCTAAACCGCAGTGCGGACAGCTCTGGTCCTTTTGGACAGTCTGTAGTTGAAGTACATGGCAGCCTTAGACTGTGGAGCTCTCCTGGGCCGGCAGGAGCGTCCGTTGCCAAAGTGGTCCTCTAAGCAGCGACAGGTGTAGGAGCCCTCTGTGTTAATGCACCGAGCATGGCGGCTGCACATGTGATTTCCAATCAGACACTCATCCTTGTCTGTAGGAGAAGAAGAGCAGTAGATCAGGGATACCGATGCAGTTCAAAGCAGTTAGATCCAATGGCGGTTTAATGACCGGGGCCAACACAGGCCAATGCCCCTCTGGATCTAGTCCTGGCCCCTGTCTTGAAGACATACTTAACCACTTTCTGATGGCAACATGCTCGGCACAGAAACCATGAAAAACCTAAATAGATTACAATAATTAATACAATTCCTACAGGAATCTTACCTAGTCTGGACAAATAGTTTACTGATGTATAAAATCACCCTTCATTAAGCAAGAACAGCATATTTCTCCTCATTAATATAGGAGAATAAGAATAATCCTAGATTTATTTTTATAATACAGTTGACAAACTTACCTGGAACCATAGCTCTGTTGAACCATCAATTCCCCCTGCATTTAGCAGTTTTAAATTTTGTAGGATTTTTTTATAGATAGATTGATTCTATTAAGGATAAGATCATTGGCACCCCTCTAAATACGATTGGTTTATCTCTGGATGGTGAGGGAGCATCTGAGGTAACCACAGAATCTGAACATTGAACTTTCAAAGTTAGCAGAACTATTATCGTCATCTAAGCTTTCAACTTATTAGATCCAGTTCCTACCAAGTTATTTAAGGTTGTATTCCTTATGATTTCCACCTCCATTTTAGATGTAATTAATCTATCACTGTCACAGGGATATGTACCTCAGGCTTTTAAGGTAGCTGTAATTAAACCTTTATTTAAAGGTAAAGAGGATTATCTTTGGATGAATGCAGAAAAAACAAACTTTATATTCTTTAAATCAGAGTCTTTGAAAAAGAAGCTGATTAGTCAGTCACTTCATTTGGGAATGGGATCATACAGATCTCACATAATAAAGTAAAAATTCTTGATGTTATTTTTGATCAGGACCTGTCATTTCAATTTCATATCAAAGAGGTTTCTAGAATTTCCTTCTTT